CGCTGCCTCTGTCGCCGCTCGCGCCTCTCGCTGCTCGCCGCTCCTGCTCCCGCTGCCGCTGCTCGCCGCTGTCGCTGCTCACAAACGCTGCCTCTGTCGCCGCTCGCGCCTCCCGCTGCTCGCCGCTCCTGCTCCCTCTCTCGCTACTCGCCGCTGTCGCCGCTCCCGCTGCCGTTGCTCGCCGCTGCCGCTGCTGCTGTTGCTTCCTCTTTTCTCAGTTAGCAGGCTTATACTGTTAATATTAAGTTTATTTAAAATGATTAATTTTCAATACTGTTAATAAATTAATAATATATTATTTTGATTTTAATGTTGTTAATTTTTATTTATTTAATAACATATTTTTATTTAAAATTTTAAATAATTATATTTATTAATTATATTATATATTTTTATATTTTAGCGCCTCGCTTCGCTCGAGCGAGTGCCTGGGCAAGCGCCTAGCGCCTCGGGCGTTTTTGGACCTTGGCGCCTTTTAGCGCCTAGCGCTTTTTAAATCACTGGACACAACACAGAGGCAATCCCAAAATTCCCTTAGACAAAAACATAAGGTATTAACGGTTGGCTACAAGAAGAACTATCAGACTCAAAGGTGGGAAAAAAACACATTAAACATCTGATAAACTATAAAGTAATCTAACTATATGACAAGGATCATAGTTCACAAGATACTGGCGATTAATGAATGATATATTCGGGATCAACAAGATCAATTATCACGATTGACCCAAAAAATAAGTTTAAAATAATATACATATGTATATTATAAAAAATGGCAGTACATGATAAAAAAATTACAAAAATGTGAGAACAAAAAAGTATTATTCGTTAAAAGACTTCTAGGTTTGCATTTCATCATATATATAACTTTTCAAAACAAATAAATAAAACTGAAATATTATAGATGAAAACATGAAAAATAATGAAGAAATGACTCTATAAAAATTAACTATCCTTTATTTATTACAAATGTATTCGTCGTATCAAACAAACATATTATTGTCATAAACAAATAGTATATGCATTTTTAAACAAAAGATCCAAAGATTATCTACTTAAAACGTTTTAGAAATAGTCATACTATGACCCAAGATTTCCCTGATCATAAATGAAAAATATTTAAAATCTGAACAGAAAACACATAAAAGTTGAGATCAGATAATAAATCCCATCATATCTTCCCTTTCTTGTGAAAGCATCCTTGTTTCTTTAAGAGGTTAAGAGCTAACTTTTATCTTATCCTTCCTCTTGTTCTTCTTTCCTATCGTACATGGTAGATAGCAAACAATGTGACAATGATGGAAAACAACAAATACAATAGAAGTCGAAAATAGCAAGTAATGTATCAATAGAATCTCCTACTATATCGCACATTCGGTCACAAGTACATGTTTTGTCTTTCATCTATCTTTGTTTTCCTCTTCTACTCCTTTCCCTCCTTTAGCTCATTGTCTCATGCTTCTTTTAAGGCTATTAAATTGATTGAAATTGGTCAAATTGGCCAACTCCAGCTAGTTTGATCAGCTATAGCCAATGATGTCAACGACTATTCCGGCGTGCCTAGGTGCTCAGGTCTGAGCGCCTCGATGATCTAAGTCATGGCAGGTGTTTTTAATCAAGCATGGTCTAGGAACACGTATGAACCCAAACATGATTCAAGCACGCTCCTAAGCCCAAGGACATGCCTAAGTCCAATCACTGAGCAGATCAAGTGAGAGCCTAATATTGATTGAACCAAGTTAGGGTTTGTGTTCGAGGCATGCTCATGGTACATGGCCTAACCCTCTCCCCCTAACCTAATCCTCATCTTCCCTGGGCATGTGCATGCAACGCGATCAGATCTTCTAAGCACGTAAGGTGATGACAGGCAACCAGATCTCCTCTTCCTAGCATGTAAGGCGACAAAAGAACAATGTTCATGCATAAGGTGACCCTTTGGCACTGCCTTCCCTCTTGCGAACAGATATACCTTCTCCTTTTTACTCTCTCCCTCCCTTTCCCTATCTCGACGATGCCAGCCCTCACACCCCCACTACTTTGTCCCCTCCTCCACCTCCTGCCCCTTCCTCCCGGTGGTAGTTATGGTATTAGTGGTGTATTAGCCCACAACTAACCTCCTCCCTCCGCTATATGCTTCTGCTCAATAAAGCTACCACCTCAAGCTCCCCTTACCATTTTGCTTCTCCCCATTAGTGTTGTGACGCCTGAACCCTTATCTCTACTTCTTCCCTCGAGCCTTGTAATTTGTCCCCTCCCCCGCTCCTCCACCTCCCATTCCTCCAGTCAGCCCTGTGATGCTATCAGCCAGCCACTAACCTCCTCACTCTGCTATCAACTTCGCCCTAACAGAATTGTCGCCTCCGAGCTCCCACACTCTCTCTCCTCCCCAACAGAGTTGCTGCCCTCAAAATAAAGTAGACTTTGATGATCATTAACTTTCTTGATGAAGTTTGTGGACTTTCTATGTTAATCTTCTTCTATCATGTTAACTTTGTTGTTAGATTTGGATAATGTAGTACCTTAATGCTTTATAGATGGTTAAATGAATGTAATTCAATGTTTTAATAGTGATATTTTTGGATATGAAATGATATGAAACTCATGTATTGTCTAATTTGTATTGTAGTGATTGTCACTCCTTAATTATATTTTTTATAATTTTTATATTGGTGGATGCCTCATTTCTCTCAAGCGAACACCTAGCACCTAACATCTAAGACAACATAATACCTTAGCACCTTTTACTGCCTAGCACCTTTGACAACATTGGTTATAGGTGGTTGAAACTGAAATATAATCATAAGACCAACAAATTGACCAAATATGGACAAATCTTTGATAATATGTATGGATCAAATATATGTTCTCTTAAATCATTCGATAACACAAACAATACCAATGGATCCTCGTGGGAGTACCACATTTAATAAATAGTAAATAAGATGATACAAGAAGAAACATTGCAAAATGATTACTACTTGGTATTGTGGCTGGTAAGTGATCCTTCATGAACAACCCTATAATATGCTAAGCAAGACGAAGATTCTTGTTCCAAGAGTTTTAACGACATACTGTATGCACTATATCAAGATACTAAGATACTACCACTATAACAAATTGATAGGTTCACAAGAAAAAACCTTTAATTCCTAGTTTCATATCCACTAACAACAATTACCTAGCACATATTATAAGTACACATTCGGTCATGTTTGCTAAATAGATTTAAAACCAAAAAGTAGTAATTCCTAAAAGCAATTCATCATTTGGTGAGTTTTATTTGTCAAAGACTGGTATCCTATTGAAGGGGCATAGAGTCTGCCATTTGCACACCTACATCCATAATGTAGGTAGGCAGATAGTAATGCCTGGTAATTTATATAGTGGATGCCAAACATCATTTAGCATCACAGTCAACAGTTACTCCACAAAGAGGAAAATGTGTCAATAATTGCTGCTAAACAATGGCCAAAAAGCGTATTCCTTTAGCAAACAATGTTGTGTGTTCTCATCACAAGACAGAAAAGCATTACTTGGGTGCCAAAAATATGAACCTAGGATGAGCTCAGCAGGAAACTCACCTGAAGCCACCTAACGGCAGACAAGTCTGCTCTTTGAGACAAGATCCTGAATCATGTGTGTGTGATTTTGTTGTCTGAATCAAAAGGAAGTTCCAAAGCAAACAACCAACATCAGTTCCAACAGGAAAACATTTTGACTTTACCAAGCACCTAATATAGTTATATAGGAGCAAGCAAAAGCCTCAAACCTGCATGACTAGATCAAATTCAGCAACAATTACTTGGTACAAATCAGTGCCCCCAGCATTCTTACCAACCAACTGCATGAATACAACAAGCATATTAGAGAAAGCAAAACCAAACATGGAAGCATGCAAAATACTTTCCAGTTCATTGATAATGTAAAAAACATTTAAGCTAAAGAATCCAAGTATCATAATACATCCATCCAGGAATTTCTCACTCAAGCAAACCTCTCCAATTATGGCATAAAGATATAGCTGTCCTTGATAGTCTATATGAACAAGAATTTGATAGCCAAAACATAAACAATCTACCTCTTGAACAAATGACTTGGTTTCTGGAGAGAGCAAAAACACAGGGAAGTTATACTGATTTGACATAATGCCAGAACCCTGCACAACCAGACATTATCAATTAAGACCTTGCCCAACAAAAAGGAAAAATTAGATCCTCAGATTTTAATTAGACAAGTAATAATGATTGAGCCTCATAAGTAACTCACAGCAAGATTCCACTCATAGTTAATATTTTTGTATGGTGCAAAAGCTGCTTGCGGAAACTTTTCAGCTGGTGAGAACCCTGTAAGCCAAGACACTTTGTGAGATTCATGCACTAGTATGAGAAATTAACATTAGGCCATAGCTCTACTGCATTTAAAATATATGTCAAACAGAGAGGAATGGTTATCTAGTGACTTGCTTGGGTATCCATCTGATTCAACCAAAACACCAGCAACTTTTTGAGCAAAATCCATATCTTTGGAAATCCTGATTAATACAATGTACAGATGGTCAGAACATTATTGCTGAAGTAGAGATGAATGAGCATGAAAAGATTGCTTATCTGGCACATAATGCTACATGGTTTCTCCAACTTGCCATGACCACTGTGATTACAATTTTTAAGAGAAGGTTCAGTCTCATCAAATCAGAGTGCAGAAGGATGAAATCATCTGGTGTTCTAAGAACTATGCTAATTTTAGTGTGAATAATTCTTGGCAGGAAAAAATGGTTAAATATCCAAAGGGCTGGTTGTATAAGGTGATCTGGCGTAGTTGCAACTTCTCAAGACTGTTTCATGTTGGCTGGCTTTCTTTTTCAATGTGAGAACACCCAGACACAGTACTAAAATAATACTTCCTAGAGCAGGCCAGATGTGATTTCAGCAATAGTTTGAAGGAGAATGAAAACCATTTCTTTTGTAGATGCTGCTATTCTAAGAGGGAGAAATTTTATCAATTAATGGTAAAAATCAATAAATCAGCTCTTACCTTGGAGCAGAGTCTCCACTCGTTCAAGGAAAATGGAACTGTGAAATATGCTAAGCATGGAACATCTGAGATGTGTATTACCTGCTTTTGGGCATATAAGCTGCTTTTGGACACAATCAGATAACTATAAGCATTCTTTCAAACATGTTACCAATAGGTTCCTACAAAGGTCAGAAAGGAAACTGGTTGCTTAATTGGTCTCTCCGTAGATGTGTAGATCTGTTATGGGCTAACTGACCTAATAACTTAATGAGCCTAACCATTGACTCAAAGCTCAAGATAGCGATAGTCCGTTCATGGAGTCTTTGTAAACCAATTTAAGTCTTTTTCCACTTCTAATGTCCAACTAAACTATAAATTATCAGTACCCTCGTTTAAGGGCTTGATACCCTCATTAAAAGTCAGACATAATCTAAAATCAAACTCTATCGCATGAGGCTTAGTTCAGTAATAGCTTCATGTTGTGATATGCCTCTAACCCCTCCACATGTAGACCTTTTTTTACTTGGGCTGCTCACCATACCCATTACTAGGTTCTGATATCATTTGTTACAATCCAACCTAATGGAATGACTAACCCACACCTTTGTAGTTTATAGTTTGTAATTTGCACATGACAAAAAAAATCAAAAGGCTATAAATGACTCTAAGATATTGATAGCCTTCAAGGCATATTTCCACTCTGCAGAATTTGCACGTCTTTACATATTCAGCAATTAACATCATCTCGTAATCTGGTATGCTCAATGCTTTTTAGTGGATCATTTTCTTTGGATACCAAATAATAGTCCCAAGATACAAGTGCCAAGAAGTGTAATGATATAATATACTTGATCCTATATATTTGTGCCTAGGTCATTGCCAATGTGGTTTTCACTTGGATACTAATTGACGACAACCAATAATGAGCACTCAATTAAGATTTAGCTAGTTGCAATAAACAAACCCAAATCGGTAAAAGAAAAGCAAAAGGGGAACAATCAGCTAGTTTTAGCCAAAAGTAAAAGGGGTTATTACATATCTTTCCTTTCAAAGTTTGGAAACAATGTATTTGCCTCTAGAAAACATATAAAATATATATCCCTCCAAACTATTAGACCTTGCATGGGTATCACTTTAAATATTTAAATCCTTCATATATGTCATTCCCATTAGCATTCAAAAACAATGTTCAATACTACTAGTGAGAATCAAATTTAAGGAGCAATTACAAAAATTACTTATTTGTAGAAATATAGGTAATATTTTTTGAAGGATATTAATCTTATTTGGAGTCTCAACATCATTTAGCATTTATACAAGTCTTAGAGTTTTGCAGGGACATCAGCTAAACTTCAATTTAGATGGACAAATACAAAAGTTTCTAACTTTGAGGGACATGTATGCAATTTTGTGCTTCTCTTGAAAGTAATTGAATGGGAAACACCAAAAGATATTACCAGGGACAAAATACTTACAACCACCTCCATAAAGATTTGAATTCAAAACCTCTTCAAGAAGAGTGGAATCAACAACTAGAATAAGACCTAGCTGGTGACCACGACTGAAATTTAAGAGCCAACTTAAAAGGGTCAGGTGCACGTTATACTAACAAACTACCAGATGGGAGATTCTTTTTAGATGATCGGAAAGGAATATGGAGACTGACAAAATCTCTCTCTTGTTTCCATCCATGATCTTTTGCTTTTCAGGTAACTTCTGTGAGACTGACAATGTCAACTTTCAGCCTCAGTTGAATAGTTTGGTAAGGCATCACTACGAATCATAGCTTTTACAAAGCAACAGCAAATACTAATCATGAAGAAACATGTCACCACAGACATAATATCGATATTGTATCTAAGCAGTAAACATAGGAAGACAAAATAACTTGTCTAACCGGCACATGCAAAAAAGGAATATGTTGAAAGTAGAAATTTATCATACCTGAGGAACAAACCTTCCAACTCCTCTAAGGGAAGTAAAACAGCAGACAGACGAGTCAACTCATCACTGCTATGCTTGAACCTTACAATGGGTGCAATAACTTTCTCCTGACCAGGATCTGATATATGAATCGCAAAGTCCAGATTCAAAAGATTGGCCACATCTCCATATGATAACAAGGTGTTTTGCTTTGCAAAAACATGCGCTTCTTTGGACGAAGTTTTGAAATACAACAGTATATTCTCTAAAGCACACACAAATTAATAAGTGTACTTACTAGAACAACCAATTTCGCCAGAAAGATTCAGAAGCCTCACACAAGGATAACTCTTGATGTTCCGGTACATTGCACTCTGAAGATCCGGAACTGACTCTAAAGCATCAGTCGCTCCTGCATCATTTTAGTAAAAAGAAAATAAGTCTATGTTTCACAAGCACTACGTCGGATACAGTCTGGAGAGATAACTCCTATAAGCAGCGTTAAAACTGCAAATCTTTTGCAGCAAGTTTCCACCGGCTACAACTCAATCCACCTTAGACAGCACCTAAGGCCATCTAGAAGTAACAAAAAAGATAGAACAATTTATAAAAGCCTCGTTTGCCAGCAAATGTTCCTTGCAAAATGAAGAAATATCATAGAAAATCAAGAAGCTAGAATGTATAGGAAATCGAAGGTGGAGGTTTTGAGATATGTTTTTCGAGAGAATCCGAAAGGGATGGGGTGAACTTACCGGCGATAGAAAGGTAAGGAGGAGCAAGGAGAAGGGCAAGGGCGACAAGGAGGAGAGGAATTTTGGTAACCATGGCGGAGGACTGGAGATCAGCGGAGGAGAAACCCTAGTGATCGCCGGCGGCCTCAGCGGCATTCGACGACGACGACGACGACTATGTGGTTTCTTCGCCCTTACGGAAGAGTCGGAGCAAACCTTATGCAACCCCGTGGAAGATATCGCTGTCGGGGAACCCAACAACAAGACCATTCCACAGACGCCGTTAGACCGGCAATGACGAACCGGCCGTAGCAAAGGACCGGAACGGGTTCGAGTTATTGACAAAAGACTCAAATGCCCCTCGTAGAGATTTGACCCGGGAAAAAAGGGAGGACAAGAACTTATATATTTTAATATTAAAATAAATTTGACTAAATAAAAATGAGGTCAAATTTTCATACGTACGGAGACGATCCCAAACATGATCCTCTTTGAGGAACACCTTCAGTCAATCCTTCTTGGCCACCCTCTCACTTTTCTTTCTATCTCTCTTCGGAAACAAAAAGAAAGAAAGACTTAATTTCTTGTTTTCTTTGTATATTTGGGTGTTCCTTAATTTCTTACTTTTGACGTGTCAGAAAAGAATTCGTTCAAATTAAACATCAGAACGTAAGGTAATAACACCATGTGAGGCATAAGTGGGCTAATATAAACATGAAATAAAGACAAAGGCAAACGAGAAAAAGAACAACAAAAACACATGAATGATGTATCAAACTAGTAAATTAACATTTCCCATGAGAGTGAGACTGTGAACCCGTGCCTACCCAACCCAAATACATGAAAACAAATTCAAAAAAGAGATCCAAGTAAGCTTAAGGACTAGTATGATCTATGTATGAATTAGATAAAGATCGAAGGAGGTCTTACCTATTAACATTCCCAACTAAAACCCCCTCGGCATGGCAGAGTGTTAGGTTAGCAAGTTGACAATGTTCCTAAACAAAAACGGTCTCTTATTTGGGGCCTCCTTCCTCACAAGAGGATTAATGGGGAATGGCAATTCGGATAAACCACTAACCTGGCAAAAAAAAGGAATTTAAGGCTGCAATTGTTGGCAAATACAGTACTTAATTAGGTGCCAGTTTGACAATAAATGAAGAAAATAAAAGTTTCCCATCAATAAAAAAAGTACTGTGATTCTTTGATAAAGTTAACTCTGTGACAAGAAAACAATCTATAGCTCATCTAAATTTAAGCAGAACTAAAGATGGTCATGGTCTTGCACATATGCACCCCCAAAATAAAAAAATATTGAAGCACATAGGCAAGTAAATGGCATCGACAGGAACCCATCTGAATCTTCCCTTCTAACATTACATTCACTTAAATTGGACTGTTAGTTTTGGCAAGATCCAATGGATCATGATATTGTGCAGGTGGATCACTGTAGCTGACTGCTGATTTGCTACATGCCAAAATTTGCAATGCTCCTTTAGGACCTCGATATCTCAAGCTTCTGACTAGATTCTTGACTGACCAAACAGGATAGACTTGCATCTAGGATAAGGTGCACCAAGTTGCAGTTCGGTCTCTTTTGTTGGCACTGTCACCGCATGTGTTTCTATGAGCAGAACCAATAGTCTCATAACCAATTTATTCCTAGCTATAAATATATGGAAAACAAAGCACTAAAAGCGCTTGCAAAAATATACCAACATCATAGACCAAAATCCATTGCAGTCCGATTCAGCACGCTGGTCACCATGGAATAGAATTCAGGTTCTTCCCCCTTTATATGGTCTATAGTTGTAGATTCATGTGCATCTACCTGTGCAAACCAGAAAGCTGCTTATTGGTCTGAATGGTTGGGAAACATGGGAAGCAAATACATCTTAAAGAAAACAAAATTGAACACTAGCCAAAGGTGGATAAGAATGAAAGTTCTCTAATAGGTTACTTGCTTTACCATAGCAGCAGAGCAGCACATCAAAATTATTAAGTATTGGTCGGTTTACCAGCTAGATCTGTACCAACTTTTGTGCATATAGTAACCCAAAGGATAATCCCATAATCAAGTAGAGAGGAGATATATTTTGAACAAAATTAACATAAATAAAGAACCATTTTGGCATGCCTCACCACAAACAATAGATGGAAATGGGGCCATGTTGCTTTACCCAAAAAAAATGGCCTCTAAATAATGCACTTATACATTCTGCTTTCTTCATGAACATATTTGTGACAAAAAGACATGGTTGTATATGCCCGGTCATCAACTACTGCAGTCTTAATTAGCAAAGAATAATTACCTTCAATAAGCAAATCTGCATCTAGATTTCTACTTGATATCTTATCAATTTCAGTCCAAGTATCCTGTGGATCTTCATGAAGTTATAGTCCATGCATCTTACTTATATTATTTTCCTTAGCATGAAGCCCTACATATTCATGTACATTTTTCATTGGTCTGTAACAAATTATCACAGCAGCATCATCAATTTGACCTTTCTTCGAATCTTCAAAACTAATAAAGAATTTATTTTTTCATGTCCTCCAAAGTATAGTTTAGAGCAGATCAAAAGCAACATATCCATCCATTGCCATCAAATTTCTTAACATAGCAATTATCCATTATAATATATGGAAGCAATTATTCACATAATTGTGATTTAAATTGTACTTGAGCAAAATTGCATAAATTTTTTAATCTAAAAATTGGTGTTTAAGGATTTTCCAAGCTTGTTCAGTGAATCTATTTTTATATTATTGGGATATATCAGGTACCTCCATGTTATTACCATAGCTCCTTATGCACATTAATGAGAATAAAACATCAAAAAGATGCATAAAGCTTCAAGTTCTATTGGATGTGGAGATTGCACCTTAAAGAAAACCACTTGGATTTTACATCTCACATATATCATACAAAAATATTACCTCGTTAAGTTTCAGAAGTATCAAGTTTGAAATTGTAGCTGGTTTTGATTTGTCCCACCTGGAAAATTTACTTATTTACTACATGATCATCAATAAAAATCAAATTTCCAACAGCTTACATGTCAAAAATTGAGATTTGGAGGAGCCTTGTATTAAATTTGCAGTCCAAGATGCAATTTCTATTTACTAGGAAACAGCTGTGCAGTAAAAAATGAAAGCAGAATAGCAAAACATTTGTTTAACTATTGTTATCGAAAGCAACAAAATGTCATGCTATGGCTGAAAATATAGATGCCAAGAACAGTAACATGCAACAAAGATATGTCAGGCTCCATCAAGAATTCTAACTACTGTAGTTTCAGAAAGAGAGAATCCTCATGAAAATCACTAAAATTTTTAAAAATGTTACTTATAGATTTTCTGTGAATTTATTGAAAAATCTACCTCATTTTCCATTTTATGCAAGCACATTCATACAAAAGGTATATACAACATTTAGGAATATTTTCAGCATAATTTCAAAGACCATTATCTGTATCAACATCAACTAGGGACTATACATATGGGATAGACAGGACCAATTGGATTTGAATCAATGGGATGAGAATCAGCCAAGAAAATAATTTAGCATTGATCATATTGTACGAACATATTAACGTAGTAAAGAATTTTTAGATAGATATCATACACAACTCAAGATTTATCCACTTGATGAACCTCATTGTAGCCAGAAACTTCTCTAATCATGAAGTCCATGAATTGTTAGAAATATATTTCGGATAAAGAAAAACCATATTTGAAAAAGAGTATTATAAAATTCCAGATTCATTGTGAGATCTAATTCTGTTATCATGGATCTGTTTCCAAAGATAAGGGTTGCACTTTGCCCTCCCCTTTTTTCTCTGGACATCATTCTCTCTTTTTTACTGGCTACGGATGAGAATTGCAACAATGGTGATTGATAACGATCAAAATGGTTCCAGAAATTATTGTGGCAAATATCAAATAATACAATAGCAGTGTCAGCTTCATCTCACAGACAAAGTCATAGATTTCTTTTTTGCCTTTCTTCCACTTCAGCTCTTATACGCTTTACTTTTCTTCTATTGTATTATTATTTTGAGGGTGTCAAAATTGTTAAACAATCAGCCAACTCTGGTCAATTTTAATGGATTCTGGTCAATTCTGATCAAACTTATTCCTATAAAACCAAAAAATGACCCAATATCATATCAGTCCTAGATAATACCATAAAGGCAGGGAATATCATATTAAAACCAGACAATAATGTGAACTATGCTTTTCAACAAAGCCTTTATGCCTGGCCAAGAACCTGATTGTAAGAGTTATAAAAGTCCAAAATGTAACACTAAAAGTCACATACCTTAAACATTTGATAAATTTCCAACTTAGTAACACAAATACAGCAGTCAGGTGGAGAAAACAAATTGAGAAATTAAATGAGTGGAGTTTACCGATCAAGTTGCTAAATAGTAAATACAGTTTCTTCAAAAAGTCAGTTAAGTTTTTGTTTGACTTCAGTCTACATACAGTAGAAACAGAAGACAACCAAACCAAATTGAATTGGACAAACTATGTCATATAACTTAAGTAACAGGTGTCAATTGCCTTAGGAGGAAGATTTTACCAATGGATCAATGGGATCCTACAACTTTGTATGCACCTGTTATCCTAATACCTAGAAATTACAACTTGATTATGTCATGGTCTCCCGACCTCAAAGTCTTTATCTTTCAGTGGCCACCACTTGCAAATCTCTCTGTACGCTGCTGGACCCAGTAGCCACAACTCCATAATTATTCAACTTCCTTGGTAGGTGGTTGTACAATTTGCTCCAATAGCAGCAATGTGGATAATACACGAATAATGCCAACAAGCTAGATATGCTCCCTCTACCTCCCTCCCTACACAAGGCCTTCCTATGAAATGTCATATATCTAGAGATGCTCCAGACACTCTACATAAGGATGAATCCAACAAATTGAGAAAATGAATCACGCCAAACCAAAATTTTCTATATGTCCCATTCAACCCTTTTCTTTCATGAATTGGTTACCAAAACTGTGCAGTGAGGTGTACTGTCAACAAAAAAAGGTAAAGCCTTTTTTCATCAAGTGGGATTATAATTATGTCCACGGAGATTACATGTCATATATCACATGTCCTAAAAGAACAATGGTCGAGCTTTGTGGTTAAGGAAATACTCAATGGTATTTCAAGCATCACTTCCAGTTGGCTATACTTGGTGATTATAAATTTATAAGTACAAAGTACAAACATTATGTAAAGAACAGCTTAAGTGTGTTTTAGTTCTTCCAGTGATTGCAAAAGGCGCTCGGGCGCTCGCCTAGGCGCTCGGGCGAGGCGAGGCGAGGCCCGAGCGCCTCGCTAATGTCCCAGGCGGCGCGCTTCAATCAGGCGCCGCCTGGGCGCTCGACCGAGCCCAGGCGCTGGGCGCTCGACCGAGCCCAGGCGCTGGGCGCTTCGGGCGAGCGCCTGGGTAAACCGAACCAGAATTTTAGGTCTGGTTCGGTCCTGGTTCGGTTGTTAGTTGGTTCAATCGAACCAACTAAACCGATATAACCCCAACCCTAACCTGCTGCCGCTGCCGATCCCGATCGCGATCTCGTCGCTCGCTGCCGCTGCTCCCGCTGCCGCTGTCGCTGCTCGCGCCTCCCGCGAGCCCTCTCACTGCTCACGCCTCCTGCGAGCCCTCCTGCTGCTCGCGCCTCCCGCGAGCCCTCTCGCTGCTCGCGTCTCCTGCGAGCCCTCCCGCGAGCCTTCCCGCTGCTCGCGCCTCCCGCTGCTCGCGCCTTCCGCTCCCTTTCCCTTTCCCGCTG